AATCTATTAGTTTTGTAAGTTAGAAGTCCAACACAGCTGTCACTAAAGTCAAGGTGCAAGATGTATTTCTGGAGGCTCTAGGGAAGAATCCATTTCCTTGCCTTTTCCAGCTTCCAGAAACCACCCACATTCCTTGGCTTATGGCACCTTCCTCCATCCGTCTTCAAAGCCAGCCATATTGCATCTCTTCCACCATTTGTCCAAAGTCATGTCTTTCTCTTCACACAGTGGGAAAGCTTCTCTACTTTCAATGACTCATGTGATCAGATTAAGCCTGCTTGTATAATCCAGGATGCTATCCCCATTTCAAAGTCCTTAACCTAATCACATCTGTAAAGCCTCTTTGCATAGAAGGTAACATATTCACAGGTCCCAGGGATTACGCATGGACATCTTTGAAGGGCATTATACTGCTTACTACCCTCCAGAAAGATGTCACACTGGGCAATTTGCCCATACCTGATGCCTTTGAAGTCTTCCCCAGTTCCCTAATTCCTAAACGTGATCATTATATGATTTTTTTTTTTTTTAATTTTAGACAGGGTCTCACTTTATCACCCAGGCTAGAATGCAGTGGTGCAATCTTGGCTCACTGTAGCCTTGACTTCCTCGACTCAAGTGATTCTCCTGCCTCATCCCCCCAAGAAGTTGGGACTACAGGCATGCACCCCCATGCCTGGCTAATTTCTGTATTTTTTGTAGAGACAGGGTTTTACCACGTTGCCCAGGCTGGTCTCAAACTCCTGGACTCAGGTATTCCACCCACCTTGGCCTCCCAAAGTTCTGGGATTACAGGTGTGAGCCACCGTGCCTGGCCAATTAATCCAATTTGGTACACTGTTAGAAATACTCCCTAAATTCCATTTCTGATTGCTCGAAACAAAATGGACAGACAGAAAGCCCTGTATGTCAGGGTTTGTGGAGAACATGTCATTCCACTAAATGAGTCTCTAGTTTGTAGACTGCAAGTGTAAAGTGTTGCTGGCCTGTCAGTAATATGTATTCAGCCCTGTTGACTGCTGAGGAAGCCACAGAAGTGATGGAATCATGGTTCCCATCGATTGAGAACTTGCCTCTTGCCAGGTCCTGTACGAATGTTAACTTATGTGTCTCTGAAAACAGCCCTAGGAGGTCAGAGAAGAAAATAGAGGGTGGGTGCAGTGGCTCACACCTGTAGTTCCAGCACTTTGGGAGGTTGAGGTGGGAGAGTTGTTTGAACTCAGGAGTTTAAGACCAGCCTGGACAATATGGCAACACTCTGTCTCTACAAAAAAAATACAAAAATTAGCCAGGCATGGTGGCACGGGGCTGTGGTCCCAGTTACTCAGGAGGCTGAGGTGAGAGGATTGCTTGAGCCCAGGAGGTCAAAGCTGCAGTGAGCTGTGATCGTGCCACCGCACTCCAGCCTGAGACACAGTGAGACTCTGTCTCCAAAAAACCATCCCCCCCAACCACCGCCACCACCATGGAAAAGTTGTCTTCTTCAAAATCTGTCCCTGGTGCCAAAAAAGGTTGGGGATCACTGGCTTAGACAACCACCATTTAGCGAGAGCACTTTCAGTTAGGTAATGCCTGTTGTAAATGTTCACATGCTTGGGAAGATTAAAGGCACTACCAACGGTTTTTTTAAATCTCAGGTTTCAAAAAAGAAAACAAAATAAAATAGAATCTCAGAGAAGTGAAATGATGCGCCCAAAACCACATAGCTGGTACTTGGCAAAGCCAGAATTCAATCTAAGTCCTGTCTCAGTCCATCACACGACATGGTCCCTTTCTAAATTATCCTCCTGTCAAGCTGACCAGCATTCACAGGAGAAGCAGCTAGAGAACAATAGATTACATCAGGTAATTGAATGCCTCGGCCACACAGGGAGTCCAGGCTCAGTCTTCAGGGGTCAAAAGAGAAAACCAGTTAGGGACTTGGCCTGGAAAAGCTTCCAGGAGAGCAGCCAGAGATGACACAACAACATTCTGTGGTCACCCAGTGGTGTGCAAGAAAGGAGATCCAGACTCCACAACAGATTCTTAACCAAGTGATTCACCCTCCAGGGAGTTCTTGCCTTGGTAATATGGTGCAGACTGGGGGTCCCCAAACTCCAGGCTGCAAACAGGTATGATCCATGGTCCCTTAGGAACCAGGCTGCACAGTAGGAGGTGAGGGCAGGCAAGTTTCTACCGCCTGAGCTCTGCTTCCTATCAGATCAGCAGCATTTCTCATAGGAGCGTAAATCCTATTGTGAACTGTGCACGAGGGATTTAGGTTGCAGACTTCTTATAAGAATCTACCTAATGCCTGATGATCTGAGATGGAATAGTTTTATCCCAAAACCATTCCCCCCACCCCACCACCACCATGGAAAAGTTGTCTTCCATGAAACCGGTCCCTGGTGCTAAAAAGGTTGGGGACCACTGGCTTAGACGACCACCATTTAGTGAGAGCACTTTGAGTTAGGTAATGCCTGTTGTAAATGCCCACACGCCTGGGAAGATTAAAGGCACTACCAACTGGTTTTTTTTTAATCTCAGCGGGAATTCATTTAATCAACTTCCTTTTTCCCAACCTTAAATTGGAATTAACTGAAGAAACAGGCTTTTAAAGGGGGAAAGGACAGCTTTGAAGGATAGACACGCGGATGAAGTGGGTGGGCTGGTGGGATGCTAACCTCCAACAAGGCAGAAAGTGATCAATGAAGAGCATAGAAGTGACAGCCTATATTCCCCTTTGTCTGCCTCCAGCTCCCCATCACTCCTGTCCATTTTAATGCCGGTAGATTCCCCAGTTGAACAATGGTCTCCATTCCCAGTGTTTCTGCCCTAGAGTAGACCCCTGTTACCTCTCACTTCCAACCGCTGTCATAGTTTCCTCCCTTGAGTAAAAAGAAAATGAGCTCGTTGAAGACTGGCACCCATCCTCTGTTCATCTGTGTATTAGGTGTCTGCAGGGCTGGTTCGTTTCTGGAGGCTCTAAGGGAGAATCCTGCCATTTCCGGCTTCTAGAGACCTTCCTTATTCCTTGACTCATGTCACCTTTGCTCCTCAGCCTCCATCCTCACATTGTCTTCCCTGTCTGATCTCCTGCGTCTCTCTTAAAAAGTGATTACATTAGGACCACTCAGACAATCCAAAATAATCTCCCCATCTCAAGATCTTTAATTTGATAACATCTGCAAAATCCCTTTTGCCATATAAGGTAACATTCACAGATTCTAGGAATAAGGATGTGGACCTCTTTGGGGGGACATTACTCAACAAACCACAATTTGTTTTCCCACAGGACATGGTTGGCTAGTAGATAGCATTCACTTCAGTGAAGAGAATAGAGTGGTGATTATGGGAGTGGAGGAAAAGATGGACATCAAATGCCACCATCTGCTAAGCACTTATCAGGCATTGGGTCAGCTGGGACACTGGGAGGAACAGGTATTATCTGTCCTGGGGAGGGAATGTGGGAGAGAGGGTCACAATCCCATGCAGGAGATGGACATATCTTCAACTGATTCTCACACAAACCACAATAGGAACTAGATTACATCAGTTCTGACTCAGAGGAGTGGGATCTTAAAAGATGACTGGAATCTGAGTAGTCTCTGTCTGAAGGGAAGATATTCCAGACAGAGGTAACAACATAAATCAAGGTAGAGTGGTAAAAACAGTACAGCAGGATCAATATTCTCAAAAGAGAACAAAGGTGACAGTATCTATCTGCCTGAACTCTATGTTTATAGAAAGAAATGGCTAGTTGAGTGACCATTTTAAATCTTCCAGGGAAAAGAAAGTGGTGAAGACAAATGTGTCCATTTAAATTCCAGACTGATAAAGGAAGGGGAAGCTCACAAGAGCCACATTTAAAACCACCTTGTCCTTTTTGTTGTTTTTGTTGTAGCTGTTGAGAAAAAATTGGACCCCCATCGGGGAATAAACTTATTTCAGGTGGAGAGAAAATGAGGTACCTGGGGCAATTCTAAACCAGAGTTTCAAAATTTGTTCCATTTATTTATAATTTTAGGAAATTTCATTTCACTCAGTCCTGGGATGATAACTAGAAGGATGTTTAATGTTTCTAATCCAAGTTTTATTTGAGGTGAAAAACTTTGTAATGTTCCTTCTCACCCGCTTCCTGGTCATGCTTCTGCTCCCTCCTATCTCTTTTTCTTCCAGCCTTCTCTTCATCTTTGTCATTTCCCCAATTAGAGAAACAGTGCAGGATATGATTTAATAAGGAATAAACACCTGACACAAGTACAAGCTGTCTTCTTCTCTTGTAAAATTACAAAAATAATAAAATAAAATAGCAAAAGTAATTGTTAACAACAACAACAACAACAACAATGTGATTTATAAAGTATAAAGTCCCTTCTCACATCCTTGCAGTCCCATTTGTCAGTTATCAGTCTAGACAGATTCATCTAATTCGGTATAATGGAGCTTTCCGCAAAGATGGAAACTTGCTCTATCTGTGCTGTCCGGTATGGCAGCCACTAGCCACATGTGTCTGTTGAGCACTTGAATGTGACTGGTGCTACCCAGGAACTAAAATTTTAATTTTAATTAATTTAAATGTGGCTATTGGCAGTTCTACTGCATAGCACAGAGACCATTCTCCATGTGTTTACTAAAAATTCACATGTAGATTGATATTTTTCATTCTTTTCCCTCAAAAATAAAGTTATATCATACACATGTTCTGAAATATGCTATTTTCAAGTGAGAGTAGACCTTGGAGAACTATCCATTTTGTAATTATAATTGCTTTCTTTCTTTTTAATCACTGGATGGGATTCTACTGAATGGATGGTTTTTAAAGTGTTGATTATTTTTAAAACCAGATATCACATTCTTGTTGTTTAAAATGTAAAAGACTCTAAAGAGTATAGCAAAAAAACTTCCCTCTCATCCCTGTCTCCAGGTTCTCTGTTTCTCTTGCCAGAAGCAACTAGTGTTAATTTTCTTGGAAATCCTTCCAAAGATATTTTGTGTATATACAAGCAAATATACATACGTTTTATTTTTAAAATCATAATTTATTTTGCCATTTCTTTGTGTATGAAACTTTCTCCTTTTACAAGTTCCTGTAATACTTCATTTATTATCTAAACATTGATCACTTATCTATTGAATATATGAGCCACGTATCATTTTCATTGATAATTTCTATTGTCTATAACTTGTTAAATATCAATAATGGCTTCCCTTTGCTGAAGGAATGAGGGTAGAATTTACTAGCCCACATAGTTCTAATTATAGTTTAAACTTGTTTTCCAGTATTCGTGAGGGATTTTGTCTGGTCAGTTGATATTCTGTCAGCTGGACAGCTGGAGTTTAGACCCTGGAGTAAAGCTGAGGCTGAGACCAGGGAAGACTTAGAAGCTGTCTGGCCCACAAACTGGCATATCCATGCATCTTGGTCACAGTGGTTATCCAGGCCAACCTGGCACAGATCACAGAGACCCAGTGAAATGGAGGTGGCAGCCTAAACTGAAAACATATCCTGAAGTTGAGTATCTATATTTTTGCAGATGCTGTAACCAGAGTATATCTTAAGGTAGGATCAGAAAACATTTATACCCATGGATTCTTATAGTGGGCAAAAAGAGAATGTCTTGATAACAGCTTGTCACCAGTGGCGCTCACTAAATCCGTCAATGGCTTTCCAATGCCTGCAAGACAAACACCAACTCCATCAACACCAAGGTTTACTGCTTTCACACACAGACACCTGCTTCCTTTGCAGCCCCAATGGACACATCTCCAGACCAGAGCATTATCCCTGGCCACACTCTACCTCTTACAGTTCCTCAAAAGTGCCATGCTGTTCTTGCCTCCAAGTTTCTGCTCCTTCCTCTGTTTGGAACACTCTCCTCAACTCTCTTTTTAGCCTCACCTTGGGCCTTGCCAACTCCAACTCATCTTTTGCATTTCAGCTCAGGTGTCTCATCCACCAGGATGCCTTTCCTGGTCCTTCAGAAAAAGAGTTAGGTGCCCTTGGTGTGTGTTCTCATTTTATCCTGTACTTCCCCAACGCTGCTCTTACCATCCTCACGCCCACCTTATCCCTGTTTCATCCTAGACTCTGAATGATCCTGGGTCATCTCTTTGAGACTCAGGAACTGTGTCTTCTGGTGTTCATTATTTTGTTACCAGTGCCTAGCATAATGCTCATAAATATGTGTTGACTGAGTGGCTGGGTCCAGAGAAGGGCAATGCTGTCTTGGGATTGCTTAGTAGTGAGGTGGAGGTGGAGGAATGTTCTGTACAAGTGTTTTGCACTTATGTGTGCATCTGTCATGTGTCTGTGTCCATCCAATGTGGAGACTGTAGAGATGGCAAAGAGATCCACTGATGGAGGTCAGGATTGTCTTCATTCTGCAGATAATCATCATCTGGTCTTAAGCAAATCATCATACTCTCTGTTTCTCAATTTCTTCATCTAAAAGAGGGGTGAGAATTAGGTGAGATAATATAAGCAAAAGAACTTTTAAAATACATTTGAATACTATGATTGTCCGGTAGTTTAGGCACTTGTGTTCAGGAAGAGCTAATGGCCCCAGAGCCTGTATTTACTGATAGGCTGTGAATGGAATGAGTCCTTGTAGACATCCCCCACTGCCATAGTGGAAGGAAATTGGCAGAGCTGTTTTCCTGACACAACCCTCCTCCTGACCCTTGTGCCTCCCCCCAGGCCTGACAGCTTCAACCATCTGCTACCAGCAGAATTCCTCCAGGGCCTTCTAGTACATTGTCCAGGTGCATAGCTGGGGATCCCCCGGAGACCCCCTTTCACGCAGTACCAAGGTCAATGCAGAGATAAGTGAACTAGGAGATAATAAGTCATTTTAGAGCTGAAAGAATCTTAGAAAATCTCTATCCAAACCTCTTATTTAACACTCAGAGAACCTGAGGCCCTAGCTGAATAAGTTGCCTGAGAAGATGCAGCTGGCTCGTCGCATTTCTGGCTGGCTGTTTGTGTTGGTCAGAAATCACAGGCCAGTGTGTTTCTCAGAACCAGCCAGCATCGAGGACCTCTGAAGGGGTGGGAGGAGGATAAGATGATGGTGCCTTTAGAAGAGAAAACTTCCAAAAGTAAGACTACCTCACAGCTTGTGAAAAATATCATTGATTATACAACTAGTTACGAAGATGACACATATTTAACGGCATGGAAAGATGTCCAAGAACATATTAAGTTAAAAAGTTTACAAAACAGCATATACAGTGTAATTCCATTTGGGTAACTATATAGATATAAGAAAAAGTCTGGAGGAAAATACTCAAAAACATTAGCAAGAGCTTTCTCTGGATGGATGCTTTTCTCTTCTCTGTATACTGCTGTTGCTGTGTTGTCTGAATTGCTTTTTGTAGCAATGAACATGTATAATGTTTATACTTTGAAAAACCAAAAAGGTTGCTTTCATTCTATAAAACGTACATATTCCCTTAATTATTCCAAGTTTCTTTTACTTTGATTTCATTTTTATCAAACACATTTTATTATCTGCAACTTGCTCTCCTCAGTGAGGCCCCCATCTATCTATAAGAAGCCTAAACCCAATTTTGAACACCTATACAAAATAATTCAATTGCCATTTGACATTACAAAGTCATCCCCTCTGAACTTAGCTGCAGAGCACAGATCACCTTCTAGTGAACTTGCCAAATTCAGATTATGATTCTGCCAAGGAAAAGACAAGACCCTGGCCTGTGATGACTCTGCAAAGGCGCAGCTTCCCCCTGCCACCTCTTAAGGCCTCACTAAGACATCAGCCTGACCCACAGTCCCTGGGGACACTGCTTGGGACTAGGGGTAAGGCAGCCTTACAAACCTTTGGTGGTGCATACTCAAATCTCTGACGTGGACAGATAAAGAGCTTGGTTTGGTGCAAAAGGGGAGCTAGCTGCTGCCTGTGGATGCTGACCAGCAGCTAAAAATAGTAAGAGGCTTGCACAACACAGAGTGTGCAACAAATTGTATTTGGTTTGTAAAAGTGAGGTCCAAGTTAATAGAAGGACAGAGAACTTGCCAAAATATTGGGGTGGGGAAGGGAGAGAGTAACTAATCCTTAGATAGCACAAGACAGAGTACTTTTACAAATTGTCTCATTGTTCTTCAAAATCCTATGAAGTCGTGAGGCATGTAATTATCACACATGCTGTAAAATGAGGGCACTGATATTCCCCAGGGACATAAAGCTGGTAACACCAAATCTGTGGCCTACTACCTCCCTAGGATGCAAGATCTATGTACACAGCATGTGTGTTTAAAGCTCGGGATGGGAATCAGAACTATGTATTAGTCGTGTGACCTTGCAGCATTCTCTTTATCTTTCTGAGCCTCAGCTTCCTCATCTGTAAAATGGGATCATAACACCTGTCTAGCTTGCCCCATGGAGTGGGGATCTAACAAGACAATGGATGCAAAAATAGTGTGCTTTGAAAATAGTGGGTTGTTAAAGGAATATAAAGTATGATTAATCTCCCGGTGCAGTACTGAGGGATATAGGTTGAGAATAACTTTCTCTAAACAGAACTGTTGTTTTAGGACTGGATAAACTTGATACAGCCCACAACAATCCTACAACCCCCGCCATTTCCCTAGGAAGCCAAACCTATTTTCACACCCCTGTCCTGTGTAGGGTACACTCAGCTTTAAAGATAGGTAATCAGGTTTCTGGGAAAAAGAGGAATCCCTGGCCAGCAGCCTCTTCTCTCTGAAACCCTGAGCTGGAGTGAGCTTGAGTTGGGGGCTCTTTGTGAAATAGTTGCTGTGGGGCCCATACTTTAATCTTAAGAAATTGTGTTCGCCTGCTTATTTTAAAGGATGGTTTAGTACAAACACCTCAAGGCTGTGCTATGCTTTTGCCATCACAGAAGCCACTAGCGAGGCCTTGGAGGGAAGGCTCTAGGGTTCCCCACCCTGCTTCAGCCAGAGAACTCTGCTTCTTTTGTGCTATTTGTTTTATGCTTTGGGGTGAAATTTATCTGAACAAAGCACTTCATGCTTAAAAAAATAAGTTGAAAACCACTGCTGCTTGAATCTGCAAATCAGCAAAACTTCTTTGGTGCCGCAGGTCACCCACCCAGCCAACCATTTATCCCCATGTTTCTCCTGTCTTTGCTCTGCCTGACCTCACTAATACCTGCTTGCTGCGATCAGGCTTACTCCGGAACCTTTCCTCTGGGCAGTCCATGTGTTTTGTTTTGCGTAAGACATTTTGTAAATAGCCTGCAGAATACATATGCAAAGCCACGTATATTTTTGTTTGATTAAAAATGCTCAGCACTAATACGTCATGTGATGTTTTATGTTTTGTATGGTATGCCACATTTCTATTTTCAATAGAAGCAGTAAAGAAATAAAGCAGAATTGAAGTGCTGATATTAATGCCACTTAATACCAGCATTTCTATGAATAGTTCTCAGCCCTCCTGCCACTATGGGTATAAATATTTCTTATGTGAACACTAACAACACAGCATAATTCCTACCACTACAGATTCATCCCAATTACTGTAGGAGGAAAGGGAAGAAAGAAGAAGTGAGAGGGAAAAAGAAAGGAAGGAGGATAGGAAGAATGGAATTAGAAGCTGGTACAGAAAAGTACAAGGTAATTTAGAATTTTTGAAGTAGTTGACTAAATGGAAGTACTATTGTGACATGGGTAAGATTCTTCCCTAAGCCTCAGTTTGCTTATCTGGAAACTGAGGAATATGGAGATAAAAATATTTGCTTTGATAGACCTAAAAGAGATATTGTGAGGACCAGCTGAAGTAGTGAATAGGAAAGGGACTTTAGTTAAAGAGGGAATTGCTGTTCTTTCAGCTGAAGAGTCCTGTCAATTTTTTCACTGTTTTTAAATAGATGGTCTGAAGGGTTAGGATCTTTCCCTCTTTCTATTTTATTTTGGAGCAGCACCCAGGGCAACATACTGAGACTTGGTGTCTACCAAAAAAAAAAAAATTAAATTAGCTGGGCATGGTGGCCCATGCCTGTATCCCCAGCTACTCAGGAGGCTGAAGTGGGAGGACTGCTTGAATTCAGAAAGTCGAGGCTGCAGTGAGCTATGATCGCACCACTGTACCCCAGCCTGGGTGAAAGATCGAGACCCTGTCTCAGTAATACCCGGCAGTTTCTACAGAGTTTTCAGATGCTAGGTCTAATGGTTTTCCACTGGTGGACTTTCAGAATCAATTTAAGTTGTCTCCATTTGAACTCTTGAAGGTGTAATAAGAATATTTCAAAGATGGCATTATTGACACAGAGGTTGTGCTCTGATCTTTTTAAAAACATCATCTAATAATTTGAGTATTGCATTAAATATAATTTTTCTACCCAGTAGATGCAGGTCAGCTTGATTTTTCTTAAACCTTACCTTAGTTAGCAAATTAAGGAGATACTTTACTTCCTGATTAATTTAATTCTGTTTCATAGAGCCTGTAGAAGGAACAGTTCTCTCTTTTCTTGGCTAGGGTAGAAATTCACAAATAATATATTTACTTATTTTACCTAGACTTTCTCTCTAAGACAGCTAGAACGTTTTTACTCTTTCATACTTCTAATTTAATACTGTAAAATCAGTCTCTCGCTTATAATTATTTTGAGTTAAACATTTAAATCTCTAAAAATTCAAAATCTAAGCTCTGGTAGTAGAGAATGCAGCAATAATTCAATAAACAAATATTCCTGGGGAAAAACTGAGGTGGTGAAAACAAGCTAAACTACATTCCAGTATTAGATGGACCTCCATCTCTTGGTCCAACACCCTGCCCATTTTTTTTACATACAGGTCAGATTGCTCCAAAAAAACAAAAAAATGCCTTTTCAAAATAAGCAATGCTGCTGGTCTTGTCTATCTTGGGACTCATTGTTAAAAATTCTTCCCTTCTGCTGCCTTCTTTTGGGTGATACCAAACAAACATTAACAACTGTGGAACAGATGTTCTAACTGGTGAGGATTCCAAAGCTCGGCTCAAACGCATTTTCAACCAGAACAAGACACCAACCACAGAGATTAATCTTCTGGTATGGGTGTTACAAGATAAAAGCACCTTCTGGATTTCATCATATATTTTGTAAAAATAACCTCTAGAGGTTTTTTTTGTTTATTTGTTTCTTTTTAAGGATGGGTCAGAAAAATTTTCTATTTTGTGAGCCCAAGTGTCATACAAATACTTATGTTGGTGTTTTGATTTTAGACAAAGCAAAGATAATTGCTTTCTGTTCTGCTGTAATAACTTTTAAAAAGATAATTTCTCTGCCACCCTCTTTTATTTTTGTGGAAAATATTAAGAAACCACTGTACATTATAGCATAAGATGTCTTAAGAAGATAACATTTCATTGCATTCCATAAGTTGCAGGATATCAAGCAAGACAGTTCCCACCTTCCATCTAGGCGCCAGCACAAAGTCATATGCAACCCAAACGTTTGCGCTTATTTCATTTAACCAACAAGTTTCTGTAGATAACCTGACATTTTCCTAGTACTGAAGCATCATATCTCCTGGCTCTAACAGACTTTAATTTTAAAAGTCTAAAAAGAACTATGAGTGGTTCCTCTTCCTTCCCTATAATCTATTCCAGTGATTGGAAGATAGGGTGATGAGGCTGGTGAGATGGTCAAGTTGTTAGAGGAAGGTCATGAATCCACGAATGTCCAGGGTCTGGCCCTCAACTTAGTGGGACCTCCCATTTAATTCCCAGTAAAACGTGTACAGCTTTCAATAGGTGAGGTTTTCAGCGATGATACAAAGCCCACACAAGGTGAGATCAGCAAGGGATCCCCCCGGGCAGGGGAAGAATCAAGGGAGGGGAACTGGAATGACCCAAGATTTCCTTAAGCCCAGACCCACAGCGCTCTGTGTATGGCTTGGTAATTCTACATCTACCACCCAGAGAGTCCTAGATTTCAATCCCAGTGCAAAAGCTTTGCCTTCTATCATAACATAGGTCCTTGGCACAGTTTATGCTACATTCCTTGTTTAAGGTATGGTATGTAGTGTTACTTGAAGGATATTGCTGCATTCTCTATTCTACCAGATCCTCCCACAAGACTGAACAGTTCTCAAACTAGGGAAACCTGGTTTTATTAGTGTCTATTCTCTGCTGCTACATAAAGATCTCCAGGGATACAGGGCACTTAGACATGAGGCTTTCCGGATATTCTTCCCTTCCCTCCCTATAGAAGAGGAATAGGCCCCAAATAAGGGGCTACGTGATCATTAGGCATTTTCCAACCCAAAATAAGCATAATCATTCTATTGCTAAGGTAAGATAATAATACTGGTATCAACAACCTTGGGACAAATGTGAAGATGTTAAATTCATTTTGCACACCTATTCAGGATTAAAAAAATATTATCCTAATAAATACAGTAAACCCATTGTAAACAAAACTTCTCATGATGCTGTAACCTTACCCATTACTCCCTTACCTCCTATCTTAAGTAATGTTTATGAGTGTATTCTTCCCTTTGCCATTAAAAGTTCCATTCCTTCTGCCCACGAACCAGCAAGTTCTCACCAGTCAAGAATCAGCTGCGACCTCATTGTTTTCTTTTTGTGTATTCTAAAACTCAGATGTTTTCTCTCCTCTGGCCCACTGTGGCATGCCCTTCCCTTTCACTAATATCTTGGACATTGATATGGTTTGGCTGTGTCCCCACCCAAATCTCATCTTGAATTCCCACGTGTTGTGGGAGGGACCCGGCGGCAGGTAACTGAATCATGGGGCCAGGGCTTTCTCGGGCTGTTCTTGTGATAGTAAGTCTCACGAGATCTCATGGTTTTGAAAAATGGGAGTCTCCCTGCAAAAGCTCTCTCTTCTCTTGAGTGCCTTTCATCTTCCACCATGACTGTGTGCCCTCCCCAGCCATGTGGAACTGTAAGTTCATTAAACCTCTTTCTTTTGCAAATTGCCCAGTCTCCAGTATGCCTTTATCAGCAGTGTGAAAACAACTAATACAGACATATAAACATTGACCCATCCTCTTTAACTTCCATATACCCTTTTTAAATTGCAGAAAAATCATTCAATTAGTGGAAAAACTGCTCAAGTAAATTTTGTCATCTTTCACCCAGGCCCAGTGATTTCCTATTCAGCAGCAATTTCATATATATATGTATTATATATAATTTATATATTATATATGTAAAATTTTGAAATCAATGTTTTAATATTTTAATAATACATGCTTATCTCCTCATTGTAGAGAAACTGGAAAATACGTAAATGTTTTAGAAAGAAAAAAATACTTGTATGTAATTCTGTCCCAAAGATGTAACATTTTGGTGGATTTCCTTCTTTTTTTTCTACGTGCATTTTCATATTGTGATTACACTCTGTGTGTGTGTGTGTGTGTGTATACATATATATATGATTTTGTATCTTGCTTTCTTATAACCAAGTCTTTATTCAAGTTAAAAACCCTACATATAACATTTTAAGGCTCTGTAGGTTTTGTTTTGTTTTGAGACAGCGGCTCGCTTTGTTGCTCAGGCTGGAGTGCAGTGGCATGATCTCGGCTCATTGAAGCCTCTACCTCTTAGGCTCAAGTGATTCTCCTGCCTCAGCCTCCCAAGTAGCTGGGACTATACCACCACGCCCAGCTACCTTTTTTTTGTATTTTTCGTGGAGACGGGGTTTCGCCATGTTAGCCAGGCTGGTTTCGAACTCCTGACTTCGGGTGATCTGCCCGCCTCAGCCTCCCAAAGTGCTGGGATTACAGGCGTGAGCTACCACACACCCTGCCCGTAGTAGTTTATTATATAAATATGCCAGTTTATTCCCTGACTCCATTACTGGACATTTATATTTATGATTGTTTTAATTTTATGAACAAGCCCACAGTGAATATTGTGAGGCATATGGCTCTTTTGTTGTGTAATAATATTTATTTGGAATAAACTCCCAGAAGTAAAATTGCTAGATTAAAAGGTGTGTTATTAGTCAGTACTCTCTTGGTTGTGAGTGAAGGAACTCAGACTGACATTAAAAAAAAAAAAAGTAGGGGGTGATTACTGATTCACAAAAGCAAACTTTGGCAAAGACAAGAAGGGAGCTGGCTTTAGGGAGCTGGGACCAGAGGCTGGAATTTTAACCTTCTGACTTTCTCCTTGTCTCTTGAATGGGGTAGTAGCATTTATCTTAGACATAAATGAAAATAGAGGTAACTCAGTGTCTAACCCACAGTGACAATTGCTGCTCTGTTTTTAGAGCCGGGATTTTGTTCGTGGACTTGCCTTGCCTGGTGGTTGAACTTTGCAGCCCCTTCCTCCTCGGGGCAGCTTCTCTCAATGGCAGCTGTGTTCCCCATGGTTTGTCCTGGATGTCTCCCTTGTGCCATCCTTGCAAGCCCGCGACCAGCGACTCCACCCACGCTCCGGCCTTGCTCCCACTCCCACCGCTCTGCCACCTCCCACCTCAGCCTCCCACCTTGGTGTGAAGGGGCCAGCGCCGAAGACAAAGGAATCTCTGACGAGGTCCGGCTAGTCCGGGAAGGGCGGCGGGGAAGGGGATACTGCTGTGGCGGAGCCCTCACTTCACTCGGTTCCCCTCGAGCGCCCCCCTAGCTGAGGCCCGGCCGCTCTGGGCCTGCTCCTCCTCAAGCGCCTGTTGCGGGGCACCGGGTCAGACCCTACGGGGGGCGGGCTCCGCCAGGGGAAGGGGAAGAGGGGCTCCCGCCAAACTCGGCCTGGCCGCGGGGGTCCCAGGTGCCCTCAGCTGGACTCCTTCCACGTCCTCGTCCCCCCTGAACTCCCGTTCCAGCCCTGCCCCCGCCCCCCAGCCGGGAACCGACTCGCTTCTGCCCCGCCCCGGGGTCCGGGCGCCCGAAACGTCAAGGCCACGTTCCCTCTGCTGCAGCTCGAAAGACGGTGGCGCTGACTCTGCTCTGCGCGCCGCAGCTTCCCCCCGCTGCTCCGCCCAGCGGTTTCTGATCCCCTTTCGGCGCTGGGGACCCACACGCTGCGGCAGCGGGAAAGCCCGCGCCCCCGGCCGCTTCCCGGAATGCCCTCGGGGACGGCTGAGTCACTCGGCGCCCGCCCGCGCGGCCACCGAGCCCAGAAGCGGGGAAACCCCAGGGACAGCTGCTGGCCCTGGGGGCAGCCAGCACTCCAGGCCGCTCAGCGCCTGGGACCCGGATGGGCTTTTCGCGCCCCAGGGCTGCGGCCACACCCCGCCGGGCCAGATTCCGCGGGTAGAGAAAGGAGGTACAACCCTGAGAGTCAAGACTTGGGGCTTTGCTTTGCCTTTCTTTCTTTCTTCTTCTTTTTTTTTTAACCACATCCAGGAAGAGGAGAAACCTGCCTCATGACGGGAAACGGAGAGAGAGGATGCATCCGAACTGAAGGACATGGTTTCGGTTGCCTCACCTGACGTACTGTCTCACCTGAGAGAGGGAGGCCGAAGAGGGAGCCAGTGCTGGCTGGAGCAAGCCCTGCCCTCGGAACCTGGGCTGGGGCTGAGCCCTGGGGCTCGACAGCTGTATGGCCTTGGGCAAGTCCTCGGAGCCTTAGATTCTCTGCAAAATGGAAATGATGTTTAACAGAAAATGTTTCTATAACTTTTATGGCTCACTTTTTGAAAAGCGAGAGAGGGATTTTTTTTCCCTCCTCGCATCTCAGTCGCAGTGCTGGTTCACAATCAGGCTGTTAACGCGGTTTCCACATTTTCTGTCCTCCCCCTTCCCCTTTCCTACCGGGAATAGGAAGGTGGGCCCCCAAGGAGACAGAGGGTACACTCGTGCCTGGGCGACAGAGTCACACTCCGTCTCAAAAAAAAAAAAAAAAAAAAAAAAAGGCAGCACAAGGACCCTTTGCCGCAGAGATTTCTTTTTCCAGGTATCCTAGGTGGGGCTCTCGCCATCCCTGCCATCCCTGCCATCCCTGCTCAATACCAAAGGGGTGAAGTCCTGGGACTCTTATCCCTATCTGTATGTACTCCTAGGCAAGATTATTACAGTAGCGCTTTGCTCTCTACTTTTCTTCTTTTTAGAATATACCCTTGTCTAGCCCCTACCCCATCTTCAGGACAGTAAACGTTCTCAACTCACTTCAAACCCTCCTAGCCGTCTAGAACAGTGGCTTACAACTGCAGACCCATAGGAAATGTAGGGCCATCTATGTAATAAATTTATCCGGATGTATTATCACAATTTTAAGGTTACACTTGTCCTTTTTTGAACAGGACAATTCTTTAAGACTGTATGCTTCACAGTTTTAGTTATTTTGAATTGTCCATTCTATTATGAAATATGATAGTTGTTACTGTTGGTTGATGTCCTCTCTCAGAAAAATAAAAAATGAGCAGTTCTAGGTGGATCCCCAAAATCTTTTAAACTCGATCTGTGAAATCCAAAAAGCTTGGGTACTATTGCTGTATTCCACATGTGATTCACATCAAGGTCCCTTGTCCCTCCCAAGGAGATTTGTAGCTATTAAAAGAAACAAACAAACAAATACAAACAACAAAAACCCTTTCGAGAATCAGATCCTCAAAGAATGTTGAAGGATGGACGTGGAAAAACAGAGATTGGGGAGAGGAGCCTTTCTCTACTCTCAACCCCTAGCCCTTAGTGTAGGTGAAGGCAGCACAGTTGTGTCTATTCTAACTGGTATTCAGTATTGAGCAAGACTTTTAATGGACTACTCCTTTTGGTAAAACAGAGAATCTATTTTGAATAAGCCAGGATCTCTTGGTCTTTCAGTTTGCCGATCAGCGGAATGGCTAAATGAAGGTGCTATACTTTACTTGAAAGGTGAAAATGTGGTCATTTGGGCAAGCAGTAAGTAGTACTCCTCATGTCAATAGTGGCATAGTGTGGACTTACATGATGCCGTCTTAAATTAGGCCTCATTGGCTAATATTTATTGAACACTCTCAGTGTGTTCGGTGCTAATTAAAATATCTTCAAGTCACAGGATCACTGCCTTCCATAACTAGTGATGCAGCAAGCATCACTATTATACCTACCTATATCGACACAGGTACTGCACATGCATATTCATCTTTTTTTGGTTGCTAAGATAAAATTTTGCTTAAAATTCTTGCTTAGTTGTGTGGGAAGTAGAGGAAAGGAAGATTTTTAAATTTGAAATGGTTATCCTAGGACAGGAAACCATCCCAGCTGTCATGCACATTAATATTTTAAAAACACTTTCACATATCATCTCTGTTGATCTTCCCAGACCCTGTGACTCTACAGGCTGATTTCAGAGATATTGTTGTTCCCCCTTTACTGACAAGATATTTTAGTGGCTTGCCCAAGGAGGCTTACCTAAGTCCGCACTGCTGGGTCAGGAGTCTGCCCTGGGTCTGCCTCCTCCTACTCTCGCTGCTGCAGTCCTGTATTCTGGGAAGGCCTCTGTGGGCCAGTCCCAGAGCCTTTGAACCAGGGGAGAAAGGGTGGAGAGGAAGCATGCTTCTACTAGTTCTATATACCCAAGAATCCACCTCAGGCGGGGAAGAAATTACTTAGCCTGAAGGCGGACTATTTGACAGCTAGGGCAAAACAGTGGTGAGAAGAAACTGAGGGAAAGGAGAGAGGAGCTACCAGTAATTTTCAAACTTTGCTTAATATTAGAATCACCTGGGAAGTTTTTAAAATTTTTTTTTGATGCCTAGCTCTCACCCATACTGATTAAATCAGAATCTCTGAAGGTGGAACTAGGATTTTTAAAAGCTTCCCAGGACTGGGCACGGTAGCTCATGCCTGTAATCCCAGCACTTTGGGAGGCTGAGGCTGGTGGATCACCTGAGGTCAGGAGTTCAACACCACTCTGGCCAACATTGTGAAACCCTGTCTCTACTAAAAATGCAAAACATTAGCCAGGTGTGGTGGCGGGTGCCTATAATCCTAGCTACTCAGGAGGCTGAGGCGGGAGGATCGCTTGAACCCAGGAGGAGGAGGTTGCAATGAGCTGAGATCATGTCATTGCACTCCAGCCTGGGCAACAAGAGCGAAACTCTGTTTCAAAAATAACAATAATAATAATAATAAAAGATTCCCAGGGTTTTAGAGTGTGTAGCTACATTTGAAGACAAGTGGCCTACAGCGATTCTCAGATTTTTGTGTGCATTTTCAATCACCTGTGGATCTTGTTAAAATTAGGGTCTGGTACAGTCGGCCGAGGATATGACGTGCTACTGTACAGATCCAGAAAAAGGAAACCCTGGGTGCTCGGTGGTCAGAAAGAGTTTTGTGAAGGAGAACAAGTCAGGGTGGGCTTTGGACATTGTGTAAGATCTAATACTTAAGAAAATATAAGAGCATATTCCCGTCTGGGAAATGAGACAGAGGCCTAAAGGTGGAAATACCCAATGTTTCAGGGGACTGTGCTGGTCCAGTATAACTGATGGGGAGAAGTTTTTCAGAGATCTGATTTTCCAAATTTAGCACTTGGCAGTTAACTAGCTATTGTTTTTGGTGCATTTGTGTTCTTCCCTCTTCAAGACCTTGGTGTTCAGAAACCTGTGTTTTAGTGTGTTTTGCCATACATGATACTAAGCATTCAGCGGGTATTCAGAACAGACTGGAATCTTGCATTTGTATCTGCTATTCCCTTTATGTTCTGCCAGATACTTACCCTGATCATTCGCTGATTTCCTTTGTGGCTGACACCTCAATGTATGCCAGGTGGGTTGGCTCATGCCTGTAATCCTAGCACTTTAGGAGGCCAAGGCAGGTGGATTGCTTGAGCTCACAAGTTCAGGAGCAGCCTGGGCAACATGGCAAAACCCCATCTCTACAGAAAATACACAGAATATTAGCCAGGCATGGTGGCAGGCTCCTGTAGTCTCAGTTACTCGGAGGCTGAGGTGGGAGTATGGCTTGAGTCCAGGAGGCAGAGGTTGTAGTGAGATGAGATGGCGCCACTGCACTCCAGCCTGGGCGAGCCAGACCTTGTCTCAAAAACAGAAGCAAAACCAAAACACCACAACAAAAAACCTCACTGTCACTTTCTCAGTGGAGCTTCCTTTATTTAAATAGAATTTAAAGGGGCTTGACCACTCCATTTAAATTGCAACATCAGCCAGGTGCAGTGGGCAGTGGCTCACGCCTGTAATCCCAGCACTCTGGGAGGCTGAGGTGGGCGGATCACCTGAGGTCAAGGAGTTTTGAGACTAGCCTGGCCGACATGGTGAAACCCCGTCTCTACTAAAAAATGCAAAAATTAGTTGGGCATGGTGGCATGTGCCTATGATCCCAGCTACCCGGGAGGCTGAGGCTGGAGAATCGCTTGAACCCAGGAGGCGGAGGTTGCAGTGAGCTGAGATCATGCCACTATACTCCAGCCTGGGCAACAAGAGCCAGACAATGTCTCAAAATAAATAAATTAATTAATTAAATAAAGTAAAATAAATTGCAACATTCTCTTTCTCCTCCCCCACCTCTCCCACGCACTTCTTCTTGCTTTAGTCTTCCCTTTAGTGTTTGTCACCAGTTCATTCATATTTTATCTTGTATATATTTACTTCTTTATCTTATTTACTCTCTGTCCCCTCCATTAAAAAGCAGGTCCACAGGAGCACAGAATTTTGTTTGTGTTTGTTCACTGCGGGTTCCCCAGCGCCTAGAACAATATTGGATACTCCACAATTATGTGTTGAATGAATGAACACTACATATTGAATTGAATGCATATTACTTTTGATGTTACCAGCACAAGTGAATTCAACATTCAGGGGCAATAGAAACCGAAATAATCCATCTTGCTACTGTTTCATTTTAGAAGAGACACTTATAGCACTATTTGGTCATTAGATAGAAACATT